CATAGACCAGATGTGGGGTTGAACTCATAACTGAAGCGGATTCCAAATACATCTTTGTTTGGCTTGGATAGACTTATCGAATACCACTTCAGCAGAAAACTTGTGGCATTCAATTCCTAATCATATTCATTCGATTCCTATATCATTTCATTCGCATTGAGCATTTCATTCGCGCTACGAGTTTTTACACCGAACCATTTGTTGACTTCGCTCAGTTTCAAAAATTTCAGCCACTTAATGCATCGCACAATGGCTCAGAATGGAACTTTATCTGATTGACGATGAGTAAGAAAGGTTTACGTTAGAGATGAATGATGCTTATCGTTAGTGCATCAATGATTACAATTTGACTTGACCAACGAAAAATATGAAATTTCGTTTGAAAATAAATGAAAAAAGTTCTGCATACGTTAGCCAGTTTCGAGCGATTATAAGTGAGGATACGTTGATAGTGCTGAGGATTGTTCACGACGTGCTCATCAACGGAATCAGCACGATGATGCATGAAACTTGAAACGTTCACAATGCGACCATGGCCAGATGCTCGCAATGAACCGATCAACAAATCAGTCAGTAAAAAGTGTCCTGAACTTATTTTCGAACGTTTGTAGAGACAGTGTTAACTGTTTGGCTTTTTTGCGAACTGACACGAGATTTGATCATCACTGATCATTTTCATGCATCAGTTGATCTCTCTTTGAAGTTGTGCTTAACTCGCAAAATTCCAGGATTCATGTGGACTGTTTGAATTGAACATTCTTATCGAACTTGAAATGCATCAATGAGCACAGAAATTATTAAGGTGATGTAGCGTCACAATCACAACAAAGCGTCAAACCTAAGTAATTGCACTGCCATGTTGTTTCAAAGCCATCAGAAGTACGTTGAAAAACTGGCAAAGCCATAACACCGGCATTATTGACGAGAATGTCCAAATGGGTTTCATCTGAAAATCTGTAGGGGGCGAACATCTTCTCACTGATTCATGTAATGCATGTGTTTCGAATAAACACATAGTTAGCTGCATTCAACATTGAAAAATGATCATTCACCTTTGAGAAATGAATCGACGAATTTCCTGATGCTCTCAAACGATGCCAGATCAGCATTCGCAAGAACAAGTCGAGAACGCTCACAGCCACTCTGAAAACATCAGAATATCATCGCAAATATTCTTCTCCAGAGATAACTCTCCGTAATTCATTCGTTTTCAATTTCATTGCCCCTATTGCTTTCAGCAACATGATCTATAGTCACTTCAATAATTCGACGTGTACGTATTCTCCGCGAGAATCAAGACAAATAAGCTATCATTATTCCGAATAATCAATTTCACCTCAGCCAGATTTTCAATTGCCTCAAGTGCCTTTTGTGGATTCCGGCATAGCAGATAGACTTTGGCACCACGAAGATTCAGTAATTTCGCTATTTGTTTGCCAATACCCGATGATGCGCCAGTTACAATCGCTATTTTGCCATGAGCATCGACCAATTCATTGAACTGCGTTCCTTTTATATACTTTCTGAAGAAAGTTCACTCGGTCAGTACCCAGAATCAAGCATATTCATGCATACTTTATGTATCCATAAACCGATGAGAAAGCCTTTCTGACCATACCGAAGATTATTTCAGTTCTGAGCCAATTTGAGATGGTGCATCAGCTTAATTGCTAAGTTATGCGGTTGTATCTAAATGACATACTCAAATGAGCAATGCAAGCAGTTAAGTGATGCAGTTCAGCCAACTGAGCAAACGTCTCAAACAATCCATCCACTACAAATAAGAAATGCCACAAAAATTTTGTTGAATTCTTTAAGACTGCTATTGAAAGCAATATCAACTGTTTGCCCGTTGAAGAGTAAATGCGAATGATAGAGCTAATCAGTAAAAAGTAATACACCTCAAAAAGTAACATGCACCAACGAACGCAAATGCCAACAGAAATTGGTTATAAACAGTGGTGAAAATCGCGTTCATCCTCTCAAACCAGCGCACTCTCCTGCAATTCATTCATGTATAAGTAGCATTTGCAGTGAAAATATGGTCGAATCGTTGATGAACAAGCATTCATGCCACTCTAGATTGCTAAGCATTCCGTGAACATGAGGCGCGATTCTCTACGATCGGATTAATCAGCAAGGTCGAGGCGGGACCACGTTTTTCTCAACGATCAAGTAAATGGCGTATTCAAGCAGCAATCGCACGACACTAACGATAAGAGTCACGAAGCGATCTGATAACTGAAATATAATCACTCATTGTCTGATACGAAATGATGACACATTTTCTTTCAGTGGTAGAATATCGCATCTAAAATGAATCCGATCCGATGAACTTATCACTTTTGATGATTAACTAATACGTGATAAATGTGATAAGATAGACTGATTCACTTCAACGAGATCACAAAGACGAGAGAGCACGGAGGAGAGAAGGAGATCACTCATGAAAACCGGAAAGACGATATTAGAATTAGATGGAACGATGGCGTTGAAAGGAATTGAACGCGAACTAAAAGTGATGACAGGAAATGTATCTCACTGATATGTTGAAAATTCTAAAAACTGGTCGAAATTAGAATGTTACTGATGCAACGGCATTGTTGAGTATATTCTGTTGAGATGAACAACTGAGATGCAAAAATTGATTTGATACGAATGCTTCAATGAGAGATATTCAGAACGACGTTTATCTATTAACATACCAGGAGTATTCTTAACCATTTACATTACACTTAAAAACCTAACAATTTTATCAGTTCCGATGCTTTGAGCGATTGTCTAAAAATTCTGTTGCGTGGTAAAGTTTTTTGCAGTAAAATTCACATTCATAAAATATCATTTTTGAATACATTCAAATAAAGTAAGAAGAAAACTCTCGTGTTTCTTCAGTTATTCCTCCACGTACTCATACGTCATTTCTCGATTGTGACTAAG